CAACCACAGCAGCAGTTGGCCCGGTGGATGCTAGGTTTTTTAGAAAGGACCCACACACAACACATATTTAATCCGGAGAGTAGCGTCGACTCTCCAATGACGCTCGGTCACAGGGCCCCAGATCGTGGCCTATTCAAGCATTTTGTGTTTTCCACCGCGCTGAGACTGACGTATTTTCATGGTCAGCCGGTTGGCGCGGTCGATGCCAGTACGTAAAAAAGACACACGCACAAAAAAAAATGCGCGTTTTTTTTTTCTTCTTAATTTGACACAATGAATCCATCTCTATCATAGAAAATAGTCTGAGACAGATTAGCAATGAATTCATAGCGTCAGAAAGTACCTGTATGTCTACGATTTCCCAGACAGCATATAGGGACATCTCCCCTGCGGGTAACAGGCTCAACAAGACAGTAGTTTGGTAGCTGTCTTGTGTGTCTCATATATGTTATGTTGGGAAGGTGCAGAGGATATGTGTTAGGTACTGGTCGGGCGTTTTGTGTGTGGCACCCTTTTAGTCGTAGGGCATGCAATCTCCCTCAGTTTTCAAACGAATTTTCAATGTGGTACGCGTATGTACCGGGTATGTGTATGTGTGGACACATTTCGGAGTATGTGCGGACACACGGGAGTGGTCTCACCATTTTCTTACCTTTTTGTGTAATTTCGTGTTGTTAGATGTGCAAATGGCACGGGAGAACATTCTTTCATCATTGCCTCCTGACGTGGTCGCCGATAGAGGCGTGTGGTTGAGGTTTCATCACCGGCATGTGGGTGTGTGTTAAATGCAGTGGGTATGGTTACCTATCTCGCCCGTGTGTAGGCAGAAGGTATGGCTACCTCTCCCATTAGTAGGCAGCGTAGACCACAAGTAAAGACAGGGTCGATCATTTCATGTATGTTACATCATTTGTATTTGGCATGAGAGGAATAAGAGGTTGTTCTAGTTTGTAAGCAATTTTGACGGTGTATGGGCAGGGGGAGTACTCCCTGTGTCCGTGTTGTACCCAGGTGTTGTCGCATCAGTTGGCGCATCAGTTGGCAGCATGTGTCATGGACAGGTAGACGTGGAATGGCGGCAGCAGGTGAAGGCAGCTGCAGTATGTTGTGCATGGTGGCATGTTGGGCTTGTACATAGCGTAGTCCATCCTTCGACCACACATAAAGGAGTTTGTTCGTACCTTTGGGGATTTTTCGGAGTCCTGGGTCAGCCAAGAGCAGCAGCAAGGAGCAGACGCAGTGCAGTATGCTACTTCAGCTTTACAGTCCGTCCTCCTCAAGTCCTATCGGAGATGATTAGTATCGCACAACGGCTGGATCCGAAATGCCGGCTAGCTCCGCAATCCAAGAGAGGTGGGTAGCTGAGCTTAAAACGGAATGACTGCATGCGTGCTCCTCTCAGCAGATAGATGTGGCTGGCTGGCTCTTTGAAGTGCAGATTTCTGGTTCAGCGGAATTTGTCGGAATTCCCAATTTTTCCGTCGTCACCTGGGTGTATGGGAGTTTTTCATGAAAGGTGCACAGAAATCTATTATCTTAAGTGCAAGGGACACGTTTCATTTTCAGTGTTCCCCCTTGCGGTTTCGACGGTCAAATATGCGGTTGCCCACAGATTTTCGCATCGCTATACGCTATAAAGCTCCTAATAAAGTAGTGTGTGCAGGTTTGGTAGCGCAAAAAGCAAATTTTGCGGGAATTTTACGTCATTAATTACATACCAGCGTTCTTATTGATCATATAGACATTACGGTGTACGAACACAACATAACAACATTTCAGGAATTGCTGAAAAGAATGAAACACTTCCTAATAAAGCGAAACGTAATCAAAACAAAAATAACACATGATAGCACGCAAGCTAATCTAACAAGAAAAGTCTTGTGTGCGCATCCCAGCAGTACGGAGGTTGGCGCTGTTCGGTGTTTCTGTTAGTGACGGGGTTGAAGTTTGTTTGGTAGCGAAAGTAGAACAAAGGTAGTGCTGCTGTTCCATGGTGCTGTTCCCATGGTACTAACTGCTGTTAAATAGTTGTTTTGGCTTTGGCTGCTGTTTTTCGTTCTCATGTTTTGGTTGAATGGACAATGTTCAATTCAAGTTCACCGATCCAATGGAAATACCAATGCATTTCTTTTCCTTCATACCACCACGTGTGGTGTGCGACCATGACCTACTGATACAGCAGAGCTAACATGCTAGCACTAGCATGATTGTAGGGGTGGAATTGTTGCCCCGGTATCGCTGGCACTCAACTACCCTAGGGTACGAGTCATCGCACCACTGTGCGGTCAATCCGGACCGTGTGGTGACTCGCAACCTTACGGTGCATGTATGCTGTACCATGGCATTGTGCATGTGGAGGCTACGCCCGGTTCCTCACAACAATTGAAGAGGTGTCAAAGAAGTCGCGTGTAGCACAAAAAAAGAAAAACTTGAACGTAGACTGGGAGACTGGCACAAATTCAGCCTGTTATGGAGGGGACGTAAAGATCTACTCCGAGTACAGGCGAAGCGTATTTTTTACAACATTTTGGGACCTTTTTTCGAAGAATCAAATTGTGCAATCGATCCACGCCTCTACATGTTGTAGGCCTTGGAAATGGCCCGATCAACTAGCTTGATTCCCGTTCAATCCGTTTGTTGGTCGGGGATACACGGCGTGGAGAGCAGCGGCGACGCCAACGCACCCACAACATCCGGCAGTTCGTTGCGAGGTCGGATCGCTGCTGAACACCTGTAGAGTCGTTTCTGGTTGCCTGCTGTTGCTGTGAAGGCATGGGATGCCACTCACACACCACATCGGTAGGCTCTGGCAATTTGGAACAGTGTGGTTGCATTGTGGTACGCTGCAGCTGTGGGAAATTGGAGTACAGGAGTAGTTTTCTGGAACTCGTTCACAAAATCTGTGTGGGAAGGTGGTGCTCATAACAGAATTAGAAATTTCACGCACCTCGATCTCGCGCTACAAGGCCTCTTCTTGGCAAGGCGCACAGTTCTACTCGACGGGGCTGCTCAAGCTCGGATAACTTCTTGAAAAATATGTTGAGGCTAGTGTCTCGTAAGGCGTGGCACACGTGCTGCCGCCTAGTATAAGAAATTGACACGAGGAACGGACAATGTACCATGCCCCCGGTTTCACCGGGTCCAATTTTGTTTCAACCTCTCCGCAGACTAAGTATGGCTGAGACCAGGTCTTTCACCACCTCGTGCTAAATACCACATTAACGGGCACCCAAAGCAAGTTATACCCTCAATCGGAAATCTGTTTTACCTAATTGGACGAGAAAAGTACCTCACAATCACATCTATCTGAATTGAAGCTGTTTTCAGCTGGTGCACGCAACCTTTTCAGCTCTTGGGAATCAGCTTTCACCTCTTGGTTGGCCAGACGCTAGGGTATCCCAATTCAGCCGATACTCTACCACACTAGAGATAATTGCCGTGTAGAACGAATGCATGATATCTTCGGTTTAATGCCGACTACAGCGATCGCAGTCGGCCTGCGAAAGTCGACCCAGATCAAGCATACTCTCCAGCAGTCAGCCGCGCGGTGAAAAGGGAGCATCCAAAACGGTCATGAGCCTATCTGCCAAGAAAGTATGAGAATCCAAGACATAAAAGCAAGCAACGGACCTAGACGCCGTTGGCCGGGAGATAGGGTGAACAAACCTGACAGGAATCGGAGGGTGTGCGCCCCTATCTATCGCGAACGATTTTGGATCAGCACAACAGTGAGAGGTATAACAGAATTTGTGTACGTACGTCGTGGAATGGCTGCTTCTGGAAGTGATTCCAACATTGGACGTACAAACAATCACGATTGCCGTCGGGAATTTTCCCGACGTTTTTTCCCGCCTTGGTGGGCGGTCCCGGCACTGGCGGTAATTACCGCCGTATGTGGGTTTTACCGGGACCGCCGAAAAACGAAAAACTGCTTGCTGCCGAAAAGTACCGCCGTATTGCACGACCGCCATATTTGCAACACCGCCGTTGGCGACGGCTCTGAGCCAGAAGGTGAACGGATCCGAAAATATTGCAAAACCGCCGACAAAGTACCACCAATTTTTTGCAAAACCGCCGAAAAAGTGCCGCCATATTGGGTGACCGCCCAAGAAAGGTACCGCCTGGTTGGATCATAGTCCAAGAGGCAGGCGTTGAATCATGGTTGCGATGAACTGGGGTTCAGAACTGGGGTTCAAAACCCTCGCACGTAACTACTCTTCATTTTCTGTGTTCTTTCTTCTTTTCTTTTTCGCGAGAACTTTTCTCTATTTCGCTCTGTGGCGCACACGCGCACACACCTTTACTCACCCGACACCAGCCTGCCCAGCGTGTCAGCTTCCCAGTAGAATGTTGCATTTAGTGCAATGTTCACATACTCGGAAAAGAGTGTTACCGCCGCAAAGAAACAACGACAACTCACCACCGGAACATTACCGCAATAATTTGTTTCCGCCGCGGTTTACCGCCATATCCCAATACCACCAGAGGTCTAACGCCATATTTTGGTGTTACCCGGACCGCCGACGGCAGTGCCACCATCTTCCATTACCGCCGGAATTTTCCCGCCGTATTTGGTTTTACCGAGACCGCCGAAAAAAAAAAAACGCTTTCCGCCGAAAAAATACCGCCGTCCTGCAAAAACGCCCCGCCTGTGTCCGCCGAAACAAACGGTACCGACTACAACCCTGAAAAAAATGGCAATTTTCTTATAGGCGCCAACACGTGTGTGGGAGCGTACAGCAGTCTGGACGGGCACTGCCGCCAAGAAGTTTCGAGCTAGTAGTTTGACTCAAGAGAAAAAAAAACGTCGGCGCGAAAACACCGTTGCGGAGCTCCAGGGGCAGTCCCCCCCGCTGGAGCCAGGCCCTTAAAGTCAAAGGTTGTTGCCATGCCTTCTTCTTCCACTTTTCAGTTGCCTCGCTGACAATCATGCGAACTCCTGCTAAGCACTCGCTTGCTCTCTCCTTTAGCTAATGCAGCCGGGGGCATAAAGAACGGAGATGATGACGCGTCGCCTCAGGAACGAAGTGCGCAAGTGTCTTTCCATCTATTGCACCAGTATTAATTAGGTGCATCAGAACCGCGGAAAAGCGTCAGCAGGTGCCCGTGCGTTTCCGGTGTTGTTCCCCTTTCTCTGTACCAGCGGCCGTTCGATCGATTTGACGCTATGTTACCACATCATTATTTTCGTAAAAAATAGTCTGCTCTTGAAGTGGTGAATTTAACACCGTGGACCATCGACCGTGTATGGCAGAAAATCCAAAATGGGACCGTTCTCGGACCGGATGCCAATTGAAAATACAATCATAAGGACGTGTTGGTCCTGGAGACACAAGTCCCAAGCTCACAGTATTTCAGATGCGTGACGGGTATCCGGTGTGTGAGCTAACCTGCTTATACCATACCGGGGGTAAAAAATTGATGAAACATAGCGGTGCGGCTACAGCATCCTTCAATATGTCGATGGCAAAATACGTTTCTGGTTACATTACAACAGAATCCGCAGGCTGTCTTTCAATCTCAATAGAGGCTGTTGACAGCAACACATGTGGCAGGTTGTTTTCCGCTAGATGTTGTTGGCTGCTGTTGACTCAGGCTTCCTTTCGATGTGTCTCGTAGACACCAACAGACTTCGCTGGCTGTGTTGCGATAGACATTGTTGGCTGCAATGTTCTTTCCAGCCACTCTTTCGATATGCTTCGAAGTATTCTGTGGGCGAAACTAGATTTCGCAGGCCATCACCCGATAGGCATTACTGGCCGCAATATATTTTTACCAGCCACTTCCGAAAGATTTTGTAGACAATGTAGATTGCACCGGCGGTCTTCCGATAGACGTTGTTGGCAACGAAAGATTTGGAAGCCTTTCTTCCGGTAGATATTTTAGGCAGTAATAGAAGAAGCCTTTCAAAATATTTCGTCAAGGAAGTGATGGAAAGTGATGGATATCGATCCAAAGTTGAGGATATATTGTGACTGGCAATGTCTATCGATGTTGCGTTTCGAAATCTATTGCTATCGACAATATCCAGCGATAGAGCCCCTTTAAATCTATTCACGTGAATCTATTGCAGTTAACGATGCATGTCGATAGCACTTTTTTCCTCGTTGACTTCGACGACAGATATCGATAAAAACCTACAAACGAGATCTACAGAAAAATTGTTGCGGTTGACAATGGATATCGACAGAATTTTGAAAATATACGGTTCTTGACAATGGATGTCGAAAGGGAACATTCAAGCTCTATTATTTTTTACAATGGAAATCGATAGAAACCAATCAAAACAATGTTTGTCACTGGCAAGGGATGCTTTTTTTCTCGTGGTCCATTGCAGCAGCAACAGACCTTCCTATATTTTCAAGAGTATGTAATTTGGTGTACACCACACCACATGCTGCACATACCATCGAACACGCACATGCAGAGAAGGTAGCCCAAACGATCTACGTGACGATATTAATGGACCATTGAAATTGCAATGTACTCGAAATAGCGAAATTTGCGGAGTGATCCTCGCAACAAAATATTGTATCGATGTACATCCCTTCGCACTAGGTACGGCGAGGCCCGCGGCGGCTTCGACAATCAGGTTTACTGCCGCTAGTCGCACACAATGTAGCCTCCTGTCGAAGAAACCGTGCACCCGAATACCCAAGAGATAAGTGCACTATCTCAACAATCCAACTCCCGTTGAATCCCGCGGTGAAACGACTGGTGTTACCCTCGGTAACCATGTAACGCTCACCGCGTGTTTCGGTTGGCACATTTTTTTCTCGGATGTGGATCTATTCTCACATTCATCTCACATCCTGACAATCGCCCCCAACCCCCCCTGCAACATCCGGTTTCGTTCGAAATTGTCTTAACTCGAAATTTTGAACAGGTACGAGCGTGGAGGGCACTTCAGGCCTCACAACGACACCGAAAACGAGGCCGGGATGTTTGGGACGCTCGTGGTGCAGCTACCGACCGCCACCGGACACAAGGGGGGGTCTTTGGTCTTGCGCCACGGCCGCAAGAGACGCGTCTTCGCCTGGGAAGACCCTGACGGGAGCTACGCCCGCAGACTTGGGGGGTGGAGCGGCGGCAGCGGTAGCGGGAACGGCAGGACGCCGTGGCAGGGGGCGCAGGACCAGCACTCCGCCCTCTTCTCTTCCCGTGCGTTGCGCCGCGTTCTACGGCGGCTTCTGTGAGCACGAGCTGCAGACAGTCACGAAAGGCGTGCGGTTGTGCCTCCTGTACAACCTCGTGTGGACCACGCCGGGTCCCCAGCCCGTCGCCGCGGTCGGCCAGAGCGGATCGGCGGTGCAGCTCCGTCTCTCGGACGCAGTAGCTGCGTGGTGCCGTCCCATCAGCAGCTGCAACGCCGCCAAGTTCATCGTTCCGCTCGCGCACGAGTACACCAAGGCCAGCCTGTCGTTCAGCGGTCTGAAGGGTCGGGACCGTGCGATGGCGGACTCTCTGCGCGCGTGCAGGGATCTGGACCTGTACCTGGTAACGATTGTGAAGCACGAGAACCGCATGCCGTGGGACGACTCCTTCGACAGGAGCTGCGACAGGTACTACAGGCGGTTAAAACGTCAAAGACGTGGAAAACGATCTGGGTGCGGGGGCTTCGATTGGGAGGAGGAGGGGTACCACGACGGTTTCGACTTCCCCTGACGGCTACGAAGGGGAGGGGTACGCCTACGGTTGCGGAGGTGGAGACGGTTTCGAGGACGGCATTTACCGCGACCACGGCGGCTACGTGTCAGACGACCCTGAAGATAAGGAGATGTGTGAGCTATATCAAACGACCATAGCGGCGGAGGACTGGGTGGATGGCGAGGACGACTCGGAGTGTTCGGACCTGGACATCAACATCAACGGCCACGAGGTTCTTGGCTATCTCCCGCTTGAAGACCCAGACGAATCCGCCGAGGAGAGCGATGATGACGATGATGACGGGTGCGACTCCGCCGACGCGAAAGGCCTTGATCTCCTGTTCCCCGCGGACACCGAGGCGACCGAGCGAGCGTACCAGGGTTACACGGGCAACTGTAGCCCAACTCTTGACTTCTGGTACCAACGGGCGGCCCTCATCTTCTGGCCCAGCTCAGCAAAGATGCGCGTGGAGCTGGAGAACGGGCCTAGCTCCGCTCTCAGGGTCGCCCGCGAGCGCTCTTCCGAGTACGGCGACGCCGGCGAACTGCCCTTGGCGGATCTCGCCATGATAGTGTCCCTCGCCGAGACTAAACGGGAGAAGCCGCACCGTCAAGGCTACTACTATCCGTCAGCGCCGCCCCCCGGCCATGTCTTCATCACCGACGCGCGGGACACGGCAGATGTGCTCGCCCTGTGCTCGAGAGCCGGCGCGGCAGCCCTCGACTCTTCTCGCCGCTTGCTGCGGCTCCTAGCGGGCGGTACATCGGGGGCCGTCGAGACTCCAGGCCTGGTATCGGAGGGGGTGTCGCGGGGAGTGGCGGCACTAGTGCGGGCGGTCGGGTGGCAAGCGATCGGGGGCGACGTGTTGCGGCTGGTGGAGGCTTGCAGTCTCGAGCAAGCGGGAAACGTGGCCGTACTTGACGAAAAACTGCTTTCGCTTCCGCGGCAACAGCAGCCGGAGCTTGAGCAAGACGTCGCTGGTGTCAAGTTGTTGAGGTCCAAGCGTCGCAGCAGCCTGCGGTTGAGGACGGTGTTGATGTCAAGGCTGAGGTCCAAACGGCGCAGCAGCCTGTGCTTCAGGACGATGTTGGCGATGTCATGCCTGAGGTCCAAGCTGTGCAGCAGCCTGGGATTGAGCAAGACGGCGCTGGTGTCAAGTTGTTGAGGCCCAAGCGTCGCAGCAGCCTGTGCTTCAGGATGGTGTTGATGTCAAAGCTGAGGTCCAAGCTGTGCAGCAGCCTGGGCTTGAGCAAGACGGCGCTGGTGTGAAGACAGAGATCCAAGCTGCGCAGCAGCCTGAGCTTCAGCAGGAAAAAAGCAGTTCGACGGGCGCTCTGATCGCCAGCACCTATGTACAAGGCACCACCTCCAACCCGTGGCGCTCTCGAGCGAGTGACCTCGAAGGAGGTGCCCACCATCGTCCGCCTGCTGCTCCTCGACCTGCCCTGCTTCAGCGTCAACGCTAGCAGCGGTGTCAACCCTGTCCTCGCGTTATTTTCCAAATCGGGAGCTTTCCATCTGCCGACAGATGTCTTGGCCAAGTCGGTTCACGAGTTCCGCGGCCGGCTGGACGGCACGGTAGCCTCCTCTGCAAGCGCCGCCGGGAGTTCCAATCCCGCCGTCACGTCAGGCACCGTCGCCGCTGCCTTTCGTTCTACGGCTGCCGCCGCAGGTGCCGGTGGTGTGCCACCCCCCCCTCATCACTCATGCGCGGTGGTCGCCCTTGCTACCGGGCTCTACTCGCGTGGGTTCCAGGATCTGGGCGCGGCGGCGATCAAGACGTTCGCTGAGGATGTACTGTGGCTGGCGGCAAGCGTCAACGGCGCCGGCGGGTTGGAGCAGGGATTCGTCGGTGCAATGGTGATGGGCACGAGAAGCGGCAACTCTACACAGATCTGCGAGGGTCAGGAGAAGCTGAAGGCGGTGCTCGAATCGAAGGCCGTGCAGGCCGCCGTTCGTGGCGGTGGTGGGGCTGGCAGCAGCACCGACGGCTCTCAAGTCTTCTGGAGGGCCTTGGTATCGGAGCGGCTGGTGAACCTGGAGGCACAGGCCCCGCCGGAGTTGTGCTGGCGACAGCCGAACGCAGTCTTCACGAAAGGTGCGGCGATGTTTGCTGGCGGAAGGTTGTAAAACATGGTTGTAGAGTCGGCCGGGTGTTTCGTCTTGGCGCTATGTACTACATTTGTGTTCTGTGACTCTGCCTTCAGACAGTGCACCGTGTTGATTGATACTTTGCTTGTACGAAAAAGTCGCTTCATGCCACAGCGCTTCGCTGCAGTTTGCTTTGTTTTCGCAGCCCCACTCTCACGATTCGAAACCCCACCTTCATTTATTGGTTGCAGCTCATGGGGAAAATTATGTTTCAGTATTAAGCTACGGCGGCACATACCCCGGGGTGCACCTGCTCCCCTCTCCTTGCTTCAGCACTTCTCCACCGCCCCTTCTTCTCTGACCGTGTGTAGATCCGCAGATACAGCACTTTCTACGCGGGCCGGAGAGCACCATGATTTACCGTGGCACCCCCGGTTCGCCCTTCACGAGCCTTGACCAAGCCAGAGTATGCTCCTACAGCTTTTACGGGGTCCACGCCAAGGCTGTCGCGCGAGTCGACGGCCGCCGTGCGCTCGTGGAGATCACCAAGACAGTGGATCTGCACGAAGAGAGGGTCAAGGCCCACGCGGAAGTCTGAGCGGAGGTCGACCTCCTACGCTCCCTGCTCACAAGAAAGTGAAGACCCACCCACAAGTCAAAGCGGAGGTCGCGCTCCTGCGCTCCCTCTTGAGCAGCATCGGGGTAGGGCTTGCTTGCCGCCCGCGGCGGCTGGGGCGGAGGCGGCGGTAGTGGGAGCAGGAGCGGAGACGCACCGGCACGTAGGATCAACGAAGTGAGTAGTCCTCTGGCCCCTCTTGCCCCCGTTATGTAGCGAGAACGTGGCCAGCGTCTCCAGAGCAGCATGATTGATGCTGCGGGGCGGCTCCAAAAGCGACAGGTGGTTGGTTTCTGCAACAGTCAAGCGAGACATGTATAACCAACTGTGGATAGACTTATTTAAACAACCGGAGTGCAAAGTGCATGCCTGCCGAAGGTCGTTGACTGTTTCGCTCTTGCGGGAGGGCGGAGAGACGTCGTACTGTTTTCCGTGTTTTCATTATTCTTTCCGCAGCCTTTGCTTTGTCATGAAAGTAGCAGGAATGTTCTGTCCTGCTCGTTTACGGCAACGGGCGTTGTTCCTGGCGGAGAACCTTTTCTGTGTTTTTTTTTTCGTTGTTGGTTTTGGCGCTCGGTAGGTCTGTCTGCTGTTTGCGCTTGCCACCCAAGCTCCTGGAACGTTGACACCGCACGAAGGCGAAAGCAAACGATGGCACAAACTGCTGGCTGTTGATACGCTCGTGGCTCGTGACAAGTTTGGTGGACGCGGCGGTTTTACCCCCGGGCGCCGTAGTCGAGCTGGTGCGTTCGATATTGTTTGGCTTGGTGTTTTTCCGGGGATAATTCTTCTGCCTACCTCCTCTTCTTGGTGCCGTGCTCACGAGAGTAGACAACAACAAATATACCTCTCCGACCATCTCGGTTCGCTCTGCCCGAGGTGCGTTCACCTTCATCTAACCAAGGGATGGTATTTGCCCGTCTCAGCGAAACGCGTGGCTTCACGGGTGGCCACAAGGACACCGCAAGGACCAGAAATTGAAACCGTTTCCGTGCAGCAAAAGTACTTGTGGGCGTAGTTTTGATGTGGTATTGGCTTTGAGACGCGATGGAATCACCGCTGGCATGAGCTTACCGGGGGTGTGCATATCAGTTGCTCGTAGTGTCATCCCGGGCACGTGAGAAATTCCGGGTGTATAACCAATCAGATTCGCATCGGTGTTGCGTAGCCAAGTTCCGACGTGAAACTAGGCAAGGAATAGTATATACCCTTGAGACTTCTGGACCTCCCCAGGGCCCCTCTCTGTTCAACACGAACGGGGAAACACGAGCAATGTATCGCCAGCCGATGCGACGATACAAATCCGCCTCTCACGGAAGTGTTGAGCATGGTCTCGCGTCCAAGGGCGAGAGACAACCTCCCGACTAGACGAGGAGAGGTTTCCACTTGCGAGGGGTGTACTGTACTTTAGCCCCTGGAGGTTCCGAGCGCCTCGGCATGTACGCGGCACAACGCCCTGTGCTTCGCACGTCTGGGGTCTAGCAAGTCGGTAAACGCCGTGATCATGAAGAAATGAGTTGTCCTTGAGCCGACGATATTTCACGTGTTGGTTTGTGTTTCACAGCTTGCCTTCCGGAAATATTACGGTGCCTAAGTTTGTCTGGGCAATTTCGCAGTAAACGGCTGAAAATCTCGCGTGTCTACCCCGAGGTGTGCCCCGCCGTTGACATGTTTTGCGGGGAAACTTATCTTATTTTCTAAAGCCCTCGGCGGAGTTAAGGGCCGAACACGGTTCCCGGAGACGATCTTGATTTGCGGTTCTTCTCGGTCGTGCAAACCGTCCCGTGTGCGAAATAATCGTTTTCACGTGCTTGGGTTCAATGAGACAGAAAGAATGATGTAGATGCCGACCGGACAGAGTTAGCTCACCTGTTTTGAAAAATGACTTTTTGCTAGCAAACATCTTACAGCAGTAGCCTTGGAATCGCGAAACACACATCTGATCATTAGCGTATATTCAATCGAAACAGTCCTACCCCACCCGGTTCCCCCAGCAAATGACAATTGCAATAGCAGGACCGCTCACTCCAATACTCAGTCAAGGCACAGCCCGAAACCTACCCTCTGCCCTCTGCCCACCCCCCTCCACTTCTTCATCATCCCCCATCCCCGGCCGGTACAGCAAGGTGATGAAGAACATGTTGGGATTTTAAACCCGCTAATGCTGTAAGCTACTTCCTCAAGCAGAAGGCGTCCTGGGCGACCCTTCTCACGCCTCGGCTCAGCACACACGCAGCGTCGGGACAGCCGGAGCTGTCGGGAGGTGGCAGGACGCGCGCGTGCAAGAAGAGTTGAATGTTAGCAATAGGTTGAACGCCAGAATGAGCTGATGGCAACTTATGTACAGCAAAACACATGTGCTCCAAATGGACACACGAACGCATCATTGGACAAAGTGGTAAATACACCCAAAAGTTGCGCTTGTTTCATGCCCAAAGAGATGCACAACAGAATCGACGGCAGCACGCCGAAGCTGTTGTTTACCTGTGCCAAAAGTGGCTGCCGAACTGTCGGCTGCAACGACCGACCTGAACAAGCGCTCAGGAGACAGGGAACTCACAGATATCTTCTCGCAACGTCACAGCACCAAGTCCCGCTTTAGCTGGCGTCGCCAGATCTTCACTACTGCTGTCACGCCTACGACATCCCCCTCGACCCCTCGAGCATTCCCACATGCAACTTTCATTTGTTGTTTACAGTCATGTCACTCAAGAGTCTCTCGAACTATGCAAGTACCGGGTGTTGTTGTGCAAATCGTAGCTGGCACGGTCATCAAGGACATCAAGAATCACTTCTTATCACTGGTGTTGGGTTATCTGTTTATGCGCAAAATCAAGTTTCGCAGCAAAACACACCAGAGTATCCGCAAGCTCGGGCTGTTGCGCACGTCTTTTTTCGATTGCCTTTCCGTCTCGGGCTGTTGCTTACGTTATTTTTGGTTTGTTTTTTCGTCTCTGCCTTTGTGCAGGGGTCTCTCGTTCTAGATCATACAAAGTTCAGTCAATAAGCAAATTCCAAAATCGGGCACGCGACATACGTACGGTAGGAAGAATCCATGTCTGGGGTAGCTCAGCTGCCAGATCTCCGTAATATCTACTTCGAAGAAAGTGTTAGAGGGAGGTGGAAAACGATTATCCAACCCGTCTGTCCAGGCCTAACGATGCTCGGAAAAAGGCCATGTACTGGAACAACAAGTAGTCATGGGTGACCGTTGTGCTTTGTCTCCCGTAACAACACACGCGACAACAAGCAGGCCATTGGAACACTTGGAACAATTCCCTTGAACTTTGCATTTTCCTGTCTTCAGCACCCAACGAAAGAAGAACCAAATCACCCGGATACCATTCAAGAGCGACACGATAAAACTCTTTTAAGCAGACAACTTAAGGCTTTGGACGACAACTCTTCTCTGCATGCTGCGGAGAACACGCCTAAAATAGAGAGCATACGTTCTGGTGGGTGTCAGGAACGTCACCCTTTGGACGTACACGAAAGACTCACACTAAGCGTCACCTGCTCGACGAAAAACAACTTTTTCCAAGAGGGCACGTACACATTTGAGACTCACCCACGTGGCTCACAGGAACGTAACGATGTTCCGGAAAACACCTCCTTCGAAGCCCAGCGACCTCGCCACTACATCGTTGAAGCCTCCAGCGGTCCGCCCGTGCTTCGTAACGGCAAGTACACCATCCGATCCTGCCGCTGGAACGCCCCGCACCCGAACATCTCTTCCCGTTTTAGCGTTCGATCGTTCGGTATCGGCTCTCAGCCGCACCCTGTCCGGGAAAGCACGGCACATGACAAGCCAGCCACGTCGCCGCCACGTCCTGTCTTTCTGGGCGTCATCCAAAAGCTTTTGAACGGGAGCCGCGACTCCGTACGTGCTGCACGTGACCTTAACGCGATACTCCCAAAGCTCTGCCGGGCTGTTGCCGACGTTTGGCCCATCGTCGTCGTCGTCGTCGTCATCGTCTTGGCCGCCGTCATCTTTGGCGGTTTCATCTGCCCCCCATCTCAGTAGTAGGTCCACAGGCGAGCGAACGTCGGTGGCGTAGTACCCTTCATCCACTGCAAGGTGTAGCGGTGAGCGTCCATCCTTGTCTCTCGCACGGATATCAGCACCGCTCCGAAGAAGGGCCTTCATGCCTGTGCAACTGTGGGACGCAGAAGCGAGATGAAGGGGGGTTCTACCTTCGTCGTCCCGGGCCTCGATGGCAGCACCCCCGTCAACAAGGGCGTTGATCGAGAGGTATCCGTCGCAGGACATGGCGGCCTCGTGTAGCGCGGTGCGATTACTCGTATCTCGAGACTCTGTGTCCGCGCCGTGATGGAGCAGCTTTTCCACGACCTGGCCGGAACGAGACGCAGCCACGTGCAGCGCCGTACGCCCCACGTCGTCACGAAGAGCGATGTCGGCACCACCGGCGAGAAGTGCTTCCACGCAGGAAACGCTGCCTCCTTCGGCGGCCTCGTGAAGGAGCCCTCGGTTGCTCGACGTCCGCTTGGTTTGATCGGCGCCGTGTTTCAACAGGGCTTGGACGACTTCGAAGGACCCCGAGCGGAGAGCTTGATGAAGAGGTGTACCGCCGTCTGTATCCTCCGCCTCCAGGTCGGCCCCGGCGGCGATGAGTGCTTCAACTACGCCGACATTTTTCTTGTTGGCAGCTGTGTGCAACAAGGTAGCACCAGCTGTGCGGGATCGGTTCACGTCCGCTCCGTGCTGAAGTAACACCTGCAACACATGTCGATGTCCAATGACAGTAATAGCCAGGTGCAAAGGAGAAAAAACATCATCCTCGCTATCAAGGTTGGGATTCGCGCCCCCGACCAAGAGGGCGGTTGCAGCAGCGACGTCGTCTCTTCGTACTACAAGGTGGAGAGGAGATTCGCCGTCGGCGTTGACATGGTTGCCGCCGGCCCCGTGCTTCATGAGCGTTGCGATAGCTTCAGCGCACCCTTCCTGCGATGCGGAATGCAGGGGCGTCAAACCCTGCTGGTCCCTCGCATCGATTCGAGCCCCGGCGGCGGCAAGCACATCGATGACCGCCACGTGGTTGTTGGAGGCAGCAGAGTGCAGGGCAGCACGGCCAAGCTTGTCCGTCGCATTTAGGCTCGGTCGATGCTGGACTAAAGCTGTCGCGGTCTCAGCATGCCCACCCGCAGCGGCTAGGTCCAACGCGGTCTTCCCATCTTCGCCTCCACGAAGGTTTAGCTGAGCACCTGCGGCCAGGAGTACATGAACGATGGCAGCGCTACCGCTCTCGGCAGCCAGGTGAAGAGCAGAGTACTGATCGCCATTCAGCTTGTTCGCGTCAGCTTCGTGCTTCAAGAGAGAGGCCACTGCTTCGGATGACCCCAGCTTGGTCGCCAAATGCAACGGCGTCTCACACGTTTCGCCTCCCTGGACGTCAACGTCAGCACCAGCCTCTACGAGCGCGTCGATCACACCGGCGTGCTCGTTGGAGACGGCCATATGCAGAGCGGTGAGACCCGTGTTGTCACCCGTGCCTGCGCGAAGGTTTGGCTGAGTACCGCCGGCTAGGAGTGCGTGTACCGTGGCAGCGGCGTTATCCTTGGCAGCCATGTGGAGAGAGGAGAGTCCATCACCGTTCAGCTTGTTTGCGTCCGCCCCTTGCCTCAACAGGGCAACCACAGCATCGGCTGAGGCAGACCTAGCCGCCAAATGTAAGGGCGTGCACTTTCCCTGTTCCTCGGCCCCGACGTTGGCCCCTGCCTCCACAAGCACCTGGATCGCGGGAAGGAGCGCTCGATCGGCAGCAATGTGTAAGGGAGTTATGCTGGTAGCGCCAGCATCATTCACGCCAACTCCGTGTTGTATCAGCGCGCGCATGATGTGCACATGCCCGAAGCATACTGCACAATCCATTGCTGATTTCTCTTCATCGCCGAAGCGGACGGTATGATCCGCGTTGGCAGAAACAAGAGCTTCGACAGCAGCAAGAGAGCCGCATTCAGCTGCTAGATGGAGAGGCGTACGACCTTTGCCATCAAGCACATCAACGCCAGCCTTCTGGAGTAGAAGTAGCGCAAGAATGCTGTCATGGCCTTGGCTGGCAGCGATATGGAGAGGAGTATCGCCACTCTCGTCCGGCTCACTTGGCGATGCTCCCAGCCTCAGCAGCTCCGCGACAACCGCTTCGTGGCCTTGCCTCACAGCCAAATGCACAGCACTTCTACTTGCCCCAGCTTGGGCGAGCTTCACAACGAGATCCATGTCGCCCTCAGCCACAGCATGCTCCAACGGAGTCCGAAGCCACTCTGCCCACTGCTGTATCGAAGTCGTGCCGAAGATGAGGTCGAAGATGGCAGCCTCTGACCCACTCAAGATGGTACGAAGATTCTGTCCGCCGCCGGCCATTTGAATAGGTGAGAACACACTGGCAAAGTCTGCCTCGCGAGGGTAGGGATGGGTCAGCTACGAAGTGCTCTTGGGTAGTCGCGCGTCAACTACATGTAGGCCGACCAGCTGTCGTGCTATCGTGTTTGTTGTGTTGCTACATGTAGGTGCAAACTTGCCACTGCGTGAACCACAACTTTATCTTGGTTCTGAATTCGGAATCTTTTTTGATTACAAGTTCTGCACCGCGTTCACCAAAAGCAGAGACTTTGCAAACCACATGCACACACCACGACTGGCCACAGACCAGTCGTTTGTTCCCGGCGCAGCAGACAACACCAGCGCAAAGTCATCATGGCATCTTCCTCGCACGATTTCGACGATGGTGGAGGTGACGATGCCTCGTTGTTGCAAGTTGACCCCCGCACGGAGATCAAAAGCCTCATCAGGAACGTCAAGACTCCTGAGTCCTTCGCGTTCGGCTCGAGCCTGCTCGCTCCTTCTCCAAAGCTCACCGTGCAAGGTCTCGGGAGCATCTCCCTGCCCCTGAGCAACGAAGACGTGGGCACGCTGAGGGGTGCCGCCGAGCGCGCACCGTTCGGTCATGGAGCAGAGACGAAGGTGGACGAGAGCGTGCGTCGGGCGTGGCAGATCGACGGCTCCCTCCTCGGGCTCTCGAACGAGTTTGCTCCAAGCCGTGGGGAAGAAGTACGCCTTGCACGCTGCGGAAAAGCTGGGGCTGAGAGCCAAGGCCTTGGGCGTGGAGGCCAGGCTGTACAAGCTCGTGATGTGAGTCGGCAGGGATAAGAGAGACGCGTCATGTGCAGCTGGGTTTAGATGCAGCAGAAGAACATGTACGATACACTTTAGTTATGTCGTACCATGATTTTCAAACGGCGGCATTTTTCAAATTCAAAAATACGCAGGGTACACCTCGGTACTAGTTTTTTAGGCGGATCCAGGCGGGGCGGTACGTCAATGTGGCGGTACTTTTTTGGCGGTTGGCGGTATTTCGTTTTCCGGCGGTACCGCCTTTGGCGGTTCCCGGTACTGCCAATAATGGCGGTACTTTTTTGGCGGTACGTCAATATGGCGGTTTTTTTTAGGCGGTTCCCGGTACTGCCAAATACGGCGGTATTTTTCTGACGGTACTGAAATATGGCGGTACCGCCTTCGGCGGTTCCCGGTACTGCCAAATATGGCGGTATTTTTCTGGCGGTACTGAAATATGGCGGTACCGTCTTCGGCGGTTCCCGGTAATGCCAAATATGGCGGTTTTTTGGTGGCGGTACTGAAATATGGCGGCACCGCCTTCGAGGGTTGCGAGTAGACCAGAATATCAAAATATAAAATACAGTAGCGGCTACGGTTTAAGAGAGGGTCGGTACAAGCCAATTTCACTCTCTTAAATCCGGCTTTCTGTTATATCGTGTTGGCTACGATATAAGAGAGAATTTTCTTAAACAGAATCTCACTTTAAGAGAATTCTCTCTTATATCGTAGACAAAACTGAAGGTCGTGAAACAGGGGCTCTCGCGCACTGACTACACTCGAATGCCAAAATAGGTCATAAAGAGAGCGTATCATGCATGTCACTTGCGCAGCTAGCGTTACCACGTCGGGCTACCTCCAAACACCGCTCATTCTCTTGGTTGGCAAGCACGTGGACCCAAGCACTGCTGTACCGTTGTACGCTTTTGGTGGATCTGCGTTCGGAAAAATAAAACATCGTCGTGTGATGCGATGCACATCTTTGCACGTGGACACGTAAAAGGTTTTGGTTGAGTTGTTTTATAGCTGGGTTTCATAGTTGCACCTCTTCTAGAAGGACAACACGAGGCGACGAATGCACCAGCACTCAAGAACGACGCACCCGTTTACACACTGCACCTTCCTCCCACCGTACCCTCAACATATGTAACACCCTCATACCTCTCATCCCATCGATTTGAACCCCCGACAAAAACACGAGTCAACGAACAAAAAACAGCTTCACAATATCAAAACATCACTCGCCGTACAAATAACACAAACCCAAGAAACCAACGCTACCCTGGCGACCTGTCAGCCTGAACACGATCTGCGCTGCAACCGTCAAAGGAAGTCGCTCATGCACGTCTGCTTGGTTTCCCTCGAACCGTAGGCACTCATCCACGCTAGCTTAGCCTTGCGGAGGTGAAAAGACACTTCGGACATGCGGCACTTCTCGGCAGTATCCTCAAGTTCACCAAAATGATTTGCTACATTCGCGTACGGCGGCGGAGCCGGGGCCGCTGCCGCCGCCGACTGTCCCGATTGGCGTAGCTCAACCAGGTCGTCGTCCTCGTCGTCAGAGGAAAGATCCATGCCCACCAAATTCTCATCACAGAGGCCCTCTACCATCTCTGTAACCATCGCTTCGGCTACCTCCACGTTGTCCTCTACAGCCTGAAGTCATGCGCTCACGGGAGGAAAGGCAGTTGTGGCAGATGCGATGCATCTCGGAGGTGCCCTGAGGGTCCACCACACCACAGGTGCCATGGAGGTACTGCCTGCAGACTCCTCTACATTGGTGGTTTGTGAACGCCGGCGGGCCTGGCGTGTGATCGGGGACAGCCGTGCAGCGACTGCCCGCCACGCAGGGCATGGTGTCTGCAGCTGTGTGGGTGTGTGTGTCCACGTGGTTTCCACATTGTTCGATTTAAGAGAAAAATCCCAGCTGCAAAAGGAAATTTCTCTTAAATCGATTGTTATTGGTACACGCCAATTCCTCTCTCTTAAATCCGTACTTTCTCTTAAATAAGTTCTCTTAAACCGTAGCCGCTACTGTATGGCGATGCCAAACTACATTTCGGTGCCCTTGGCGCCCCATCAACCGGCGAACCTCTTTCCTCTCTTTCAGGATGGGTCTCCCTTTGTCTCTTGTATGTACGCTTGAGAGCCTGCATCTCCCATATGATTTCGTGATTTCACGATGCGATGCATACCCATGGTCAAATCGAGCTGTTCATGGACAAAATTAAAGGCAATCAAAAGAAGAAAGGATATGCAAAAAGAGAAGAGTGCGCCAAAACGCGATCCGTCGAATGCCACGGGTAGCTGACGATCGGCGACAGATGAAAGAGGTTCCGCCGACAAGGAACAAGGCAGAACCAAAAAAAAAATATATATATATATGTATGACGAAAGAGAAAAAGAAAAAAGAATAAATGTGAAAAAAGACGCATGCCAGTTGGACTCGAACCACTGTTCTGCGCGAGACATGGCGTTGGAGTCAGTGCCCTATACTACTTTAGAGGGCAAAACTGAAGTATCGCGGTACCATTTTGGCGGTACTGCAGTACGGCGGTATTTTTTCGGCGGTACTGCAATATGGCGGTTCTCTTTTGGCGGTTCCCGGTACTTCGTTTTTTGGCGGTACCATTTTGGCGGTACTGCAGTACGGCGGTACTTTTTCGGCGGTACTGCAATATGGCGGCTCTTTTTAGGCGGTTCCCGGTACTTCGTTTTTTGGCGGTACTTTTTCGGCGGTACTGCAATGTGGCGGTACTTTTTAGGCGGTCGGCGGTTTTTCGTTTTTCGGCGGTACCGCCTTCGGCGGTTCCCGGTACCACCGAATGTGGCGGTAATTCCCGCCAGTACCGGGACCGCCCACCACGGCGGGAAAAAAACGGCGGGAATTTTCCCGAGGTGTACCCTGAAAAAATACACCCAACCGTACAACCCAGCACCTTTCTGCTACACCTTCCCAACATCTGTACATGTGCCTTTTGTATAAAACAAAACTTTGTAGGCCGTCGTCGTCGTTGTCGTTGTTGTTGTTATTGTTGTTGTTGTCGTCATTTTTCAAATCCCTTATTCGTTTCAAAATAAATGGGTTGCCGTGTGTCGGGAGAGAGAGGTAGGTAGGTGGCTTCCCGACGGATTCTTGCGTGTTTTATTCCTGCCAAATCATAAAATAGTGGTAGCAGTCTCACAGCAGTGTAGAGAGACTTCACATAGCGTATAGTAGTAAACATAAACAACAGCACACCCACGAGGCCGCGTTGGCTACACAACAAGAAGAGTTCATGTTTTGAAAACTGAAAAAGATTCGCCGAAAAGGATTTCATGTGCCTGGCACATGACATGACATTCCTCCCACACATAGTCTACATTAGGATAGATGGAGTCATCATTCATGTGCAGGCATTGATGCAGGAAGAAAGATCCGTTCTCTCGGTGCACTACAAACAGGATAGACATACATGTAGATAGATGGAGAGATATCGTACAGCAGTAACAACAACAACAGCAGCCCCGGCTAGGCCGCTTCTGGTTACGAAACAGATAAAGGTTGAGGATGGATGCATACCGCATTATCAAGCGCTGTTCACCGTGTTCAAAAGTAATTCGGGAAGAAAGGACACATAATCGATGTACTGTATGTACAGTAGTAGATGTAGATGGTCCGTTCTTCGGTGACTAGAAAAAGTAGCTGGCTAACTAATTGATAGATCTCGGCCCCTCCCTGTGAACCCCTCCGTGTATACAGCACACGTCTCGCGCATCATTAATAGATAGATAGGTAGATCGAAGTCATGCAGCAGTATCAAGAACGAACGGCAGACAGACGTGGCGAGGCTACTTTTTAGCTTCAACTTCACAAAAAGAATAAGAGTCGAGGATGGATATGGATGTGGTGTTCTTGCCGTGAAAACGGAAGAAGAAGCTTTCATCGGGAAGAAAAACCCATCCATCCATTTGGCATTCTTTGGGAATATTCTTCATCCCGTTGCTGCCGTGGCGCGGTCTGTCGGTTGGTCGGTCGGTCGAGTTGGGTTGAGTATTAGGTTGGGCAAGGTTGGGTTGGGATTCGTTGGGTTGGGTAGGGTGGGTTTGGTCGGTCGGTTTGTCGGGGTGCGTTTTGGGGCGGGTTGGGGTGGGTTGGAGGTAGAGGGTGGGTTTGGTTCGTCGGTCGGACGGTCGGTCGGGTTGGCGTTGGGATGTGTTTTGGGTTGGATTTGGTTGGGTGAAGTATAGCGTAGGGTATAGGGTCGGGTCGGGTCGGTCGGTCGGTCGGTCGGTCGGTCGGTCGATCCGTCGGTTGGTCGGGTTGTGTTTGGTGTTGGGTTCGGTTCGGTAGGGTGGGGTAGGGTAGGGTATGATAACGTAGGGTGGAAGGTAGGGTGGGTTTGGTCGGTCGGTCGGTCGGTTGGGTTGGTGTTGGTTTCTGTGTTTTGTGCTGGGTTGTGGGTTGGGTAGGGTAGCGTAGGGTAGCGTGGGGTAACGTAGGGCAGGGTCGGGGGTTGGGTTAGGTTCGATAGGGTGGGTTTGCTCGGTCGGTCGGTCGGTCTGTCGGTTGGGTTGGTGTTGGTTTCTGCGTTTTGTGCTGGGTTGTGGGTTGGGTAGGGTAGGGTAGCGTGGGGTAACGTAGGGCAGGGTCGGTCGGGGGTTGGGTTGGGGGTAGGGTGGGTTTGGTAGGTCGGTTGGTCGGGTTGCATTTTTGGGCGGGTTGGTTTGGGTTGGAGGTAGGGTGGTTTGGCTCGGTCGGTCGGTCGGTGGGGTTGGTGTTGGTTTCTGTGTTTTGTGTTGGGTTGTGGTTTGGGTAGCGTAGGGTAGCGTAGGGTAGGGTCGGTCGGGGGTTGGGTTGGGGGT